ACATATATAAAAAATATATAAAATATTAGTAGTATTTTTGCTATCTGTTCTGTCCTTACTGTAGAGTTCAAAGATTTGTATCAGAAAAGCATTTCAGATTTGTTGGCTCAGCTTGCAGGGAAGGTTGCAGCAATGTGCAATGTCCAGGTAGTTCGGTTTGATTCTAATGTTAAACACATGTTAAAGGAATGAAAAACTTTCTGCAAGTAAGAAAGTATTAATGCTTTGTAAGTCTTTACATGATACTATTTAAATTCAAATGTGATTAGGTTAATCAGGGTAATTTGTGCAAATCTAAATCATGACTTCTTTAGACTGACCTAGAAAGTCAGTAAGACGGCTTATGGGCTCATTAGAAAAGGTTGTTTCTATCATACCTTCTTCTCGTTCCATTCATAATTCTCATAGTAAAGAGCAGAAGCATAGCTTCCGTAATAAATTACTGTGCCATCTCCTTGTGTTACTGTGAATGTGCAGTTGGCAGAACACAGTAGCACCTTCTACTTCTGCGTGGAATACGCTAATTCTTGAAAGCAGGATCATGCTGTTCCTGAGTTTTCAGGTTGAAGTTCAGAGTAGCCAGTACACAGTCTTCCCATCTCTGAAGTCAGCTATGAAACAAGATACACAAGGTTTACCTTCCAGCTGAAACGTGCTCTTGCTGACCTAGCAGAATGCCTTTTTTTCCCATATGATGTTTATATGCTGTTATGGATTTAGACAGATGAGATTACTTAGTCCTGCAGAACTTGCCAGCCTTTGGAAACCCAATTAACATGGATTTTGCCATGTAGATTTAAGAAAATCTTGTATTTGGGAGATTCTGGATGTATTTAGACACAGTATAAAGATGGCACTCCTGCCTCAAAATCCCTGGACATCTTGCTGTGATTCCTAAGCCTTTCAGGTTGTGCAAAGGTGCAGTGGCAGTCAAGTTAAAAGCATACTCGTCTCTATGGACCTGAGCCGAGTGAGATACTGATACTGCTCCCATCCCTGAAAAGGCCTGTGACGTATTTCTGTCCTGTTGCCTTTTCAATATTAACAGGCAAGAGAGACGGTGGTCAAAGCCGAACTGCGACACAGTTTCTGCTTTGAGCAGGGCTGGCTGCCTGGTCTTGTCCAGCTCCGTGTGTGTGCGTTCATGCCACTGCAGCTCAGGACCCCATCCTATTCCGAGAGGTGACCCGCTGTCCTTTCGTAAGGGGTGGTGTCAGCTATGTTTTATCTGACGCTGCACAGCCCAGAGTATGGCATCTAGCCTGCTGGTTATTGCATTAGGCCCAAATGTTTTTCTGTGGTGGTAGACTTTTACAGTTGAGAAGGGTCTTGTGGCATTTATTTATACAGGGTAGTGAAACTGTCCTTGCTTTACTGTAAATTCTTTGAATGGGCTCAAATATAAAACCATATAGTTATATAAAGGATGAGTTTGCCTATTTTCTGAAATTGTCTTCTAAACTGCACTTACCTCGATTCATTCTGATGCATAGCTATGACTGCAGTGTGCTCAGTATGAGAATAATAGTAATAATTCAATGCAGTGTGTCTCGTCACTGCTGAATATTGTACGAGGCATTAGGATGGGGTGCCAGGACCGTGTGGATACGACGAGCCTGCTGTCTAGAAGCTTTCCTTCCAGCGTCTGTCCGTGTCCTTGCAGTTTCTGCTCTGCTGGAGCCTGTGTCCCAGTGTATTGCCCCCGCACAAACCAAAATCAAAGACATGGATGCATTGCACAGCATTGTCTGTTCCACAAATCCCAATGGTTCTGGTAGACCAAATCACAAATCATCCATGTCTCCCTGCGTGCCGTTTGGTGAAGGTCTCAACTTTCACTTGGTCACAATGGGATAAAAATTGCCATTGGATGGGGAAGCATCCCAGATCTTCATAAGAAATAGGGTTAAGGTTTAAAGTGAACACTACATTGCGATGTTTGATTAAAGTGCATGCTCAATTCTGCTGAAAATTGTTTTGCAATTTAATTTAATGTGCGGTGAGGCCTGCCTTCTAAATCGCTGTATGTCATGTACAAGTGAGTAGTGATAAAATACTTTCCTCCTAAAATTTCACCACAATTTAGTAGGGAAAATTGTCCAGAAAATTCTCATGTTACATTTGGTGCTAATGCAGATTCTGCACTGAACAGTTCTGTGGTTTATCCCTGATGAGTGGATAAATCCCAAAATTGCCATTTCTAGCAGTTTGATTAACTATGTTACAGGCTCTGGCAACGATGGCAGAAAGACAAGTTGATCAAATAGGACATTGCCAGGCAGGATGGGAGGATGCAGGGAGTAGTGTCCGTGTAGAAAGTCTGGGGTTCTAGGCTTGCTGAATAGCTGTATTTGGGCAAAACCATGTTGGTGAGATAAAATTTTAATTAAAAAAGTGAGGAGGAGAGAGCTGCTTCCTGGAGTTTCCTGTACCTACCATGGTGCTGCTGCTTGTTTCAGATCCTGAAGAACATGGAGTCTTCCAGAACTGTTCAGCCACACTTCCTGGAGTTCTTGCTGTCTCTTGGCTGGTCTGTTGACGTGGGGAAGCACCCTGGGTGGACTGGCCATGTCTCAACAAGCTGGTCAATCAACAGCTACAGTGATGAAGAGGGACCTGAACAAGGTAAATCATAGTCAATAGTTTAATATTAAATTAAAACGTTTGGGCTCCTTCAGGAGACAATTAATTTAAAATTTCTTGCTCCTGGATACCTATCTGAGCACTTGAACATTTTTTTTCCAGATAAATGCCGATGTTTACTAGAAAGGAATGTGTAAATATTAGATTAAGCTTCAAGTCAAAGTGAGCAAAACTGAAGTCTGTATGTTGTTGGGAGGAAGTAGCCTCAGCAAGAAATACCTCTGTGCCTATATCTTTAGCAGACTTGATGAGTCTTTAATATATTATCCAAAACCAGTATTCAGGTGAAATAGGATACAGATTGTGCTGCATATTGGCAAATAGACTTGAAATACCGTGCGATTTTTAGTGTTCTGTTAAGTAGATTAAAATGAGGTGTGGCTAATAAGTTAGCCTTGTAATCATGTTTGGTAGGAAGTAATGAAAACAGGCTGCTGTTTGCAGGTCCTGGTGGTTGGAGCCCACACACAGCTCTTCTGTCCTGCTTAATTTACTCTGCTTTTTTACGCTAGAGCAACTCCTCCTCCGGGCTTGTCATATACCACCCTCTCCCCATTCTGTCAACCAAAATGATCCTCAGGGCGGTGGATTGCTATCCCAGGGTGGTGAACTGGAGGTTGGGTTAGTTTCTGCCTTGAACAACTTAATCTGATTACCTGGGATTCCCATAGCGTCTGGGTTGGATTTGGTATGGTTCACGGTCACTACTCCAAGGGCCAGACCTTTTCTTGGTGATCTTCAGAGCCTCAGCCTTCTGCTGCGGGCTGCACAAAGGCACTGAACAGGCTGGTCCAGCTTGTTCAAAGTCTTTGACCGCGCATTTGAATCAGGTGCAACACCGTTACTGCTGCAGCTGCTGAAGCAGTGCTCTTGCTCTGCTTTCCCTTCGCTGTGCCTTGGAAATGCTCTTTGCCTGTAACTGTGGCCAGCTAAAGGCTTCTCTACTCATTTGTAGAATAAAACTACAAATGATGGAAGGTTTGAAATCTTGGGGAGAGGTTAGGAGAACAGAGGCATGGCTTTCTCTGAACAAGTCAGGAGAGGTTACAAAATGGCCAGGGCTTTGTTTAATTTTCTGTTGAGGACAGGGTCAGACTGTGCTTCACTTGGAGGCAGAGCCCTCTCTCTTCCCTTTGCGAATGGCTTTGTCGGTATGGCTGTGTGGAAGGCAGTGCTCTGAATTAGTGAGGTAACCTGTTTTAATGTCGGCTTTTTAACTTGGATTTTTTTTTTTTTTTCCCAGCCATTTGGATTAGATCACAGACCACCAAGTAGTTGAATTAATTCAACAGATTGGGGGAAGAACAAACAGAAAAAGCATTCAGGGATAGGAGGGAGGGAGGGCTACTTCTAATCTGGTTCTGCTGTTGGAAAAATCCATGAGTAGAGTCGTACCTTTAGCAAGCAATGGCTAAAAAAATAAAATGGTAGATTTAAAGTAGACTTGGACCAACTTGTGAAGATTGCTTGTAGGTTGAGGGTTGTAGGTTGAGGGTTGTAGGTTGAGGGTTGTAGGTTGAGGGTTGTAGGTTGAGGGTTGTAGGTTGAGGGTTGTAGTGAGGTCAGTGTTGGTCTCTTCTGCTGAGTAACACGTGATAGAACAAGAAGAAACAGCCTCAAGTTGTGCCAGGGGAGGTTTGGATTGGGTATTAGGAAAAATTTCTTCACTGAAAGGGTTGTCAAGCATTGGAGCAGGCAGCCCAGGGAAGCGGTTGAGTCGCCATCCCTGGAGATATTTAACAGAGGTGTGGAGGTGGCACTTAGGGACATGGTTTAGTGGTGGAGTTGGCAGTGTTAGGTTTACAGTTGGACTCAATGATCTTAAGGGTCTTTTCCAATCTAAATGGTTCTATGATTCTAGAATAGCTTCCGGTGAGATGCGATTAAAATAAATTCTCAGGCATATGCTTTGGTTTTATTTCCCTGCACAGCCCCAAAAGTAAAGAAGTTTTTAAACAATTGGGTTCGGGTTGTGGTGCTGCTCCCTGAGAGCCATGGGCTGGAGATGCAGGAACGCTTCTCAGGTGAAGCATGGCTCGGAGGCTCCTGCGTGCCTCTGGCCGCCTCTCTGTCAGCGTGCTGAATTTCTCTGCTCCGTTGGCTTTGCTGAGGCAGCTATCCCAGGAACCCTTCTGTAAACTGAATCAGAGAAATAATTCAGCTTAAAGTCCTTGCTTCTGTCTGGAGGCGGTATGGGGAAGGAAGGCGGGGTGGGGTGTAATTTACTTGCAGCATGGCTCCAACAAAGAACTGTTTCCTCGCCGTGCTGCGAAGGCCTGATGTACGAGGGAATAAATGGGGGCTGAGGATGCGGAGCTTCCTTGCATTCGGTTTGATTCGAGAGCCTTTTTCTAACTCCTTGGCAGAAGAAAAGACATAGAGGAGAGTCTGAAGAAACTGGCTTAAATTTTAGAATAGTGTCAGACTGAAGTTATAAATGTTAGAATCCTTTGGAAATTTAATGACTAACTGAATGATGTCTGTTAGAGGGAATGGTTAGAAATAGCTACTAGATGAACTCTTATGGCAAACGTGCTTAGGGAAATGGGGGCAGTACAGTGGAAATATGTTCAAAATAAATCCTCTCCCAACCCAAAATGCCATTTCCTTCAAGAGAACAAAAAAGTTTATCTGAGAATGGTGGTTAGCCACGAGATTTGACTGTGCATGATTTCTTCTCATCGATTGCACCTTGTGTTTGAAGGTCTTCTCCTGAGGCAATGTATAAAGAGGTGGAGCTTCCTTGTGACTAAACTTTGCTTTTATGTCCATTTCAGATGATCTAATTATTTCAGAAGATGTTGGGGCAAGTATCTTCAATGGGCAGAAGAAGGTGCTGTATTATGCGGATGCCCTGACAGAAATAGCTTTTGTTGTCCCATCACCAGTGGAGTCCCTAAGTAAGATCACTTTGTATATGCTGTTTACAAAAACCAAAACAACATTTTTTTTGTTGGAGAGCTTTTTCAGAAGCAGGACCTAACTAAGCTAACTAGTAGTGTGTCTAGCAAGATCCTTGTCAGAAAGCTACTGACGTTTAAATTACAACATCCTAATCCTTAGACTTCTTCCTAAGGTGGTATCTCTTCTGTGCCCCTTTTTCTCAGTTTAAGCCACAATATACATCCAGGTTTGCACAGCAGTATTGCTGGTACCCTGTGTGCATTAGGTTGAACGTATGGTTCACCATCAGCTGGTGATGCGGGTTTTTTTCTCTCCCATCGTGATGATGTGCTCCTGCAGCACATGGAGGAGCATGTGCACAACTGCTGTGTAGGTGAGCAACAGCTTTCACGACATCTTTTGCATGCTAAAACCAGTGTGCAAAAGTTCCCTGGAATAAAAGGGCTGTGAGGGAATGATAGCCATAGGAAGGAGGAGACTGTATTCCATAGGAAACAAACGGGGGGATTCTAAATCCATAGGGAGTGTTTTAATTGCAGCCTGTTTCTGGAATAACTGGCAGTTGTCCACTGCTGAATCCTCTTCCTGCTTTTGAGTGCTATATTGACTTGACCATAAATCTGTGTATGTTTAGTTTCAAAAACTTTACAACCTGTTTTAGTTTCGAAACCTTACATATGATGACAGCTTAAGTTTTTTGACAGAAGACAAGACAAACCCCACCTTTCTTCTTCTGGCTTACAGCTGATTCACTGGAAAGCAATGTCTCTGACCAAGAAAGTGACTCCAACATGGATCTGCTGCCAGGAATATTGAAGCAGCAATCTCTGACACTTGAACTCTTCCCCAATCATACAGACAATCTTAATCCCTCCCAGCGGGTAAGGCAAAATTGCATTGAAAAATGGCCCCCCCCCCCCTTGCAAGAAGCACACTGGCATTGCTACAGCATTTTTTGATAGTGTATAGTTTGGTTTCCTAGCATTTGGAGGTACTCGCTCCTAGCTATTAATCTTTAATATCTGCTTTGGTCCTGCCAGAATTTGCACCTGCAGTAGGAGATTGCCAGATTACATTAAATATAAAGCTTAAACATTCTAAGTGGTAATACTCTGCATACTGAAATCTTGAAATGCATGCAGGAAAAAGTATATGCAGTATTTACAAAGTAATTCAGACTCGAATCCATGCTTGGAAACTTAGGATGGATAGACATGAACACTTCTCATACCTACCCAGTTTAAAATAGTATGTGTCAGTTGTGTCTGAAGTATCAGATGTGAAGTTGCTTTTGTATGGTAGCAAAGCAGAAAACCATGAACTGCTGTAACAGTTAGCAAAGGATTTACAACTGCTTATTTCTTGTATAGAATTCACTTCCAAATGTATATGTAGTTACTGATTTAAGGTCTTTGAGAACATGAAGAAAAATTTGAACGAGTTTTTTAAGATAGAATATATTCATGTACGTTGAATATAGATATTGTGGAGACCTAGATTACTGTTTCTCAGTGGGTAGTTTGATGACCACAGCTGCCCCATCTCAATAGTTGGCAGAGGTCGTACCTGAGAAGACTAAGGAGCAACTTTGGAAATGCTTGTTGGATGCATTACTAGACTCATGATGTTTGCAAATGCTACTCTTCCCATGTGTTCAAAACAGCTCAGTCCTACTTCTAGATCCAAGAGGGTGCCTCAGGGCCGGACCATTCCACCGATGGGACCTGAAACCAAAGTGTACGTGGTCTGGGTGGAACGTTATGATGATATAGGTGCGTAGACGTTTTTATTGTTTGCTAAAGTAACAACAGGGCAGGAATGAGAGGAACAACTCTGTTGCATTCCTCTATAAAATGCTAAATCCTTATTAATGTCCATAGCCAACACTTTCAAGATTCTAAAACAGTTCTTTGATATTTGAGTGGTGGTCCATGGGGTGTACACGAATCAGTGGCATGTAGGTCTGGAGATTATTTTAGCTCTGGCAGTACATGTGAAATGCCATCATGCCATTCTTAAGCTTAACACACAAGGCAAGTGTGCACCCCTGTTTTTTGAATTCCTCTCAGCTGCTGTCTCCTCAGAGTGGATCTGTTGTTCTTCCTTTAAAAAAAATGACTTCTGACAGCTGCTGCTTCTGTGCTGAAAGCATCATCATCCTTCTTGGTTTGATAGTACCTTTGAAACTTTCTGCTGTGTTCTCTCTTGCAGGAAGGCTCATTTATCCTGTGCTCGGGGTGCCCGTTTCATGCTATGCAGTCCCGTTTTCTTTCTGCACCTTTGTTCAGGCAGGGTCCTGCTCCTCATACAACTTAATGTTTCTTAGTTTGGTGTTTCCTCTCTGACTCTGGGTACTGGCTGACCTGGGAGAGACCCAGCTTTGCCCATCCTGTTACAGCCATGGCGTGGACAATGGTGGGCAGCTGGATGCTAGGCTTGAGGAGTCCTTTGTCCCCAAGAGCTTCTTGTGTGCTGGTTCTAAGCCGTGGCCTGGCTTCAGCGCTGTGCAAGAGCCTCTCTGTACTCGCCTAGCCCAGCAGTCTGTAACGCTGGCCAGTAACCGATACTTTATTCTGTCTTTGATTTCTAATCCTGGTTCCCAGTCTGGCAGTAAGGGTGAACCTTAATTAATCCCTTAGCTCCTCACAGAGGAAAGCAACCAAGAGGATGGGAGTGATCAAGAGGAAGCTTCCTGTAAAGTGTAGGGGTAAATTCTCAAGGAGATCACCTTGTCCATAGCACATCCCTCAGAGCTTTACTGGGATCAGGAGGCAGACATCAAGTTCTGCAGCATCATTTCCTTATCCAGACTTTGGCCCAGAGGGTGTTCCCCTAGCTCCAAGAGTCCCTCAGCCACTTCGGTTCCCAAACTGGTGTCCCTGACCCTCTTCTTTCTTGGGTTGCAGCTAAAGCCAGCTCACTGCAGAGGCGGCAACTGTGCTATACATGCATGTTTCTGCTTGGCTGCTTCTTTCAGCAGCCGTAGGAATCTCCCAAAGCTCTGGGCCTGAAGCTGAAGTAATGAGTTTGTGAGCCTCAGTAACGTGGCAGTTGGATTGGGGGGGGGCTGCGGCGGCTCTTGAAAGTGGCTCCTGGCCCAGAGGCTCTGCCTTATGCTCCTTATGTTCTTGGTTTTTTCCTTATGCTTCTGGTACATCTTTGAGTCTGGACAGTGGAAAAGCTGTCACTTTGTAGTCTAGGCTATCGCCGCTGTGCCAACTGCCTGCCCTCCCCCTTGCTCCATCTCAAAGTACTTCCATGGTCCTCCGTGCTCTCCCTCTGCTAGCTTCAGCTTTCGTGTGCTCTTAGCATCCCAGCTCTGGTGGCAAAAGGCGTTTTTGGGCCTTGTACTCTTTCTGCTGGAAGAGGCCTCGGCACTGTCCGGCTGTCTGAACTGTACTTTTCTGAGTGACTCACAACGTCTCTCTCGGTTCCTGCTCCTAAAAAAGGTAATGGGAAGTGCCACATCCCCTTCCAGGGATCCGAGTTCTTACTTCCTCCTCCTGCACCTTCCTTACCCAGTCACTTGTTACCAAGTACATGGCAGCAGAGTTGTAGGTTATGGTGAGGATCTACGGAGCTTGGATTTGAGGAATGATACCATGTTTGTTGGAGCAGGGCTCAAGGGAACTGTAGATGTGAGCGCAGGTATCACTGGGAATTCCCAGCACTGTTCTTGAGGGTGATTACTTGTGGATAGATGGAGATGCTGCTGAATGACAATTTGAAAGCTCTTTTTGTGATTGAAGTACCTCACCTCCTTCCTGCTTTCACTGTTCCTCTAGAGATTTTGACCTTTGGGACCGAGACAGTTGAGGGTCTGGGACATGTGTTACCTAATCCGTTGAGCGCAGGATGGCTGAGGTCTATCTGTATACTCCATGAATTCTTAAGCTTAAAAACAAAGACTTTGCATCACTAGCAGTACAAGTGTATCCATGGTATAAGTGCTTGAGGACTGCATGGTTTTGACTGATGATAAATAATCTATCTTTGCACAAAAAACAACAACAACAACAAACCCAAAAACTGGAGTAGATAAACTTTATTCAGTGCATCCTCTTCTTACAGAAAACTTTCCCCTCCCTGATCTGGTATCTGAGACTAGCACTGGTGTGGAAACTACAGCCAACAGTAGCACTTCCCTAAGGTAAGACTGCTTTTATTTTAATTATTTTTCTTGATTCTTGCAGACAACAGTTTAGGCTGCACTTTAGAAGAAGTCATGACAGATTATTTGCATTCTTCATCTTTCAAAGGCAACCTGGAAAACTCTAGGTAGTCACATTAAAAAGGACAGATGAGTTTCCTCAGTGGATTTTTTTTTGGTTGAAAAAATGCAAGAGTTTTTCATATGACTGCAGTTTAAACATAAATTAAGGAACAGAACATATGTAGTTTTTCATCTTGAGTCTGTGATTAGCCTTCCTCCTGATTTACTCCCTTGTGAGGCGGTTAATGCTGCATACATGTTGTGAGGCTTAAAGCCCTGTCTGGAGGACTTTCAAATTCTGTGGTGACAGAAGATCATAGAAACAGTACAGTTGATATAACCCTTCTGAAGTCCAGAGGATGCACACAGGAGTCCCGCTGGTTTAGCCACAGGACATTTTTTAACTTTTTTTTTAACACTTAAAGTGGTCATTTTTCACTTACAGATTAATTGAAACAGTGCTATTAAACTGATTTAACAGTTGTGGTTTTTCCCTTAAGATCTAGCATTCCTGAGAAGGAAGTTCCTGTGATATTCATCCATCCTTTAAACACTGGCTTATTCAGGATAAAACTACAAGGAGCAACTGGGAAATTCAATATGGTTATCCCGTTGGTGGATGGAATGATAGTCAGTAGGAGAGCTCTTGGTAAGCTAAAGATTCTTAGGAGCACTCGTGTTTTGATTTTTTTGTTTGTTTGTTTTTAATAATATATCTGCAAAATACATGGTCTGGAATCTTTCACTGGAAAAAGTATCGGGCATGGCAGAACCAAAAACCCCCAGGCTTTTTGCAGCAGCAGTGGTAGCAGGAACAGCAGAGGGAGCAGCTGGTCAGCACTTGGCTGACGGCATCCAGGGCTCCCCTGCAATTGTGGTGGGAGAGAAGAGAAGGGTTGGAGCTAGTAATGGTGGAAGGAAAAGGTAAATGCCTCTTATTTAGGTAAGAGACATCAGAAATGCGACCCTAACGTTTAGCATTGAGAGCCAAGGTGCTGGTGTTAGTTGACTGCCAGAGGGTACTGCTGCATTTTTGGACTGTGCTGGCATGCTGCGTTTGTTCCTTCTGTTTTAGAAGCCGGATAGCAATTAAAAGCCACAGCAATTCAGGATCTTCTAATGTGTGTAAAAATACTTAACCTACTACGCAGGCATGCGTTAACAGGGGGTCCATGCGTGCTGTCTGCCTTTTCCTGGATGGATTAGTGGATCTGTCTCGGCATCTCTGCTACTGTAGCTTCAGTAACTGGAAATCTCACTCCAGTGAGAGCAATTCACAGGACGGAGTGAAATGAATAAACAAACATTAGGATACTTGTACATAACCATAAAACTAGCATTGTAGGGGTCTGTTGGGGGTGACTTCCAGGTTCTGTTTTTTGCATGCTTAATTCAGGGATAGAGAAATTGAAGCCAGGCTGGGCCTTTAAATGACACTCGAAGTCAGCTGATGACAATGGCTTCTACTGAAAAAGATACAGGTTTGTTTTCCTAGAGTTGGGCTGGTTTTTCAGCCGCATCAGGACTATTAATATAATGAAATTTGTATCAGTTCTAAGTTTAGCAGATGTGGCTTGCGTGCAGTCAGGAATTGAGTCCTCTAAGTAAGGAAGACACTGTTCCTGCCTGTAAGAAAGCGCTTGTGAAACAGCGGGGGGGTTAAGGGACACTTACTTTATTAGAGCCACATGAATTTCATTTCAGAATAAAATAGGATAAAGTCCACCGCCAGCTTTGACCAAATGTTACTGCTTTGGTTCCCAGGCTTCCCGTCCCTGCCGTGTACAGCAGTATGAGTTAGAGAGGTAACAACGGTGGCAAAGCAGCGAGGGGTAGAGAAACCTGTTTCCAGCCACAGCCCATCAAGTCTTTCCTCATGCCCTGTTCCGAGGGGGAGGCTCTGCAGCCAAGTACTGATGGGTGCTTTTTGCATCCTGAAGAATGCCCTGGCATTACCCGCTGCGACCTCAGCCCCGCCTGGGCTCCGCACGTCCTCGTGCCCTGGATTCTTTCTCCTTTTGGTCCTGAGGCTGCTGTTGTGGGCAGTTGCTTGGATCCAGCAAAGCAGAGAAATCTTCTTCCCCCTCCAGCCAGTTTAGGGTACCACTGACTTAGTCCCTTTCTTAATCATTTTTCACCGTAAAATGTCCTTACAGGCTGGGGACCATGGTTATCTGTTATCAACTACTCATTGAGAAAAGTTCTTGACTTGGTGGTGCTGAACATCTCCCCTGGGTTTCTAGACAGGACAGAACCCAAAGTTGTCTTCAGTTGCGAAGCCAGCGAAGGGGCACAGACTTGAATTTGTTTAAACTTTATTCAAATGTTGTTTCTTTTCCAGGTTTTTTAGTGAGGCAGACGGTAATAAATATTTGTCGGAGAAAGAGGCTGGAAAGTGATTCATACAACCCCCCACATGTCCGCCGAAAACAGAAAATAGCAGACATTGTCAATAAATACCGGAACAGGCAGCTGGAGCCAGAATTTTATACCTCGCTTTTCCAGGAGGTTGGGCTCAAGAACTGCAACCCCTAGACCGTTATCCTTCCAGGACAATTAGATCAGAGCTTGGTGGCTACAGTAATGAAAACAGTTAAATAACAACAACAAATTTCCTCAGCCCTCCGGAATTCAGGAAATCGTATTCGAGCACAAGTCAGCAGATACCATGTGGGAGGAATGAGAAATGAATCCAAAACATTGCAGTTAGGGTATTGACTTAATTCACCTACCCTCAAAAGATTACTTAATTCCAGTCTTCCTGGATGCTAGCAACTTAATCTCTTCACCCAATCATCTATTCCAGACTAATTAGGAACTGTAAGTTTCTCATTCTGTGAGAGGAAAACAATCAAAACAAAGCCATGTCTGCATATAAGGATGGAAAACAAATACAAACAAACCTGCCTTCAGACATCTCGCTACACCCATGTGTTAGAGAAGGGAGCAGGATCTCTCCTTTGAGGAGGGAATCTGTTTCAGAGCATTAACTGTCCCTGCAAGAACTTACAAGACGTTTTCAGCCCCCCTTCAGAGCTCAACGGAAGATCCTTCACTGCTCGTAACCAATTTGTGTACCAAAAGCAAGAGGAGGAACATTGCTTGGAAACATCAGGTCATGAAATTCATAGCCAAGATGCTGTATTTTACAGTTCCCTCCGTGGCTGGGAGTGAGTCCATCTACATACCAGATTTCTGTCATGCTGACAGCAAACACCACCTGAAATTACCTGACTTTCCAACATAAGTTGTTACTAGATAAGAGCTCTTGGTTATATAAAAACAAGGTTATGACTTTCAGGTCTGTTGCAAAATGTCACATTTAATTTTAGTAGCTTGATCTTTTTTTTTTTAAATTTTTTTCTTACTTAATTTATTTCGAAGTGTCTGTATCACCTACTCACTGTTTCCATAAAAAGCATAAACATCACTTGCTTTCCTTCCATTGGATTGAAATCTGAGATTCTGGGGCTGCCTCCTGCCTGATATTTATAGCATAAGCAGTTTTCGCAGCTTCTACAACACTTTTCAGAAGCTCCTGTTAAACAGACTAAAACAACTCGAAAAGAAAATTCAAGAATTCTTCTTTTTCCCCATTAACTTGCCATTCCATGAAAGCTCCTTTGGAGTTATAACTTAAAATTGTTTTGAATCTACTGTGCTCTCTCATGCTCAGCAGCGGTGGTTCCCTTTCACCTAGGTCAGAAGTTTTTGCTTTCAGACCGTGGATTTCAAGTGTTCAGGACTCGAAGGATGTGCTGGGAAAAGATGTTTACAACTGCAAATTTAATATTGGGAATATAAAAGCTGCAGTGGGTGCTGGCAGCCTTGGGAGCGCGTTCGGGCTCCCAGCGCAATCTTAACTTGTGTTGCAGTAATGAATCATCGCTGGCGCTCCCGGGCAGATGCAGTTTGTGATCACCGGCAGCAGCGCGTGCCCTTTTCCTTCCAGTAAGCAGGTAATGTAAGAGCATGAGCGTGAGCAGGAATTTGGGGAGCTCCTCACCTTATTCCAAAAGTGGTTTTATTAGCTTTTTAATATGCATTGCAGTAATACCTGTCAGTCATTTAATTTTGGTATTTCAGAGTTACTTTTTGCAACAGTTCTGACCTGAAACAGTCTTGTTTCATTACAACTTACCTGCCAAGGACACACCCTGCTCCTGTCTTTTCATGTGGTTTTTCACAGAGAGTAAATGGAAACACAGGCCCCTAAAAATACATGTGAAAGGATTTTCAGGATGTCAGCCAGGGGGGTTTTAGGTGACGTGCTTGTTGCAGGGGTCAAGCACCCCAGCCTCAACTCAGGAGCTCTGGATTTTGATCCAGATGAATCACAAGTGGAAAAATGGAACCACACAAAGAAAACTACTGTGGAAGTAAGCATGATGGCTGGCCCACGCTTGCGTGATGCCCAGGTTGCAAATGGCAGGAGGAGCTGCAAGGCAGCGTTTGGGCGTATGGGCAAAGCTGCCAAGGGGAACTTGGGCAGCTTCATTCCTCTGCCAAACTCTTGCCAGTATCAATTTAATGCACGGACACTAAATTTACCCACATTCTGTATGTACCTATTGGATCTAATTAATGGCCAAACACACTTTAGTCCACTGATTTAAAAGGCATGACCAATGCATGTGTAACAAATAAACATACTGAGCAATCAAATGTCTGCACATCTTCAGTAACGTAACAACAAAACCCACGTACCATAGCTAAGTATGTTAGTATGCAAAGTCATTGGTTTATATAGTAATGAGCTGCAAAAGATACTTCTTTCAGGCATTCGGGTACAGTCAGTAATGTAAAGATCCGTGCATTTGGGGAAACCCCGGATATTTTCCGCAAAGTCCAAGGTAGCCAAATGGGCTGCCTGAAGATGTACTTTTTCAAAGGCCTGTGCTTGGCTGGAGAATAGCCTTGGGTCTGTTTCCACGTTCACTTACAACATGGGTATGGCACCCGCTTGAGCAGTAACAACCCTGAAAGCAATGCAACTTTTCCGAAGTCTTGAAAGAAGATAACTTTTGCGCACATCGTTGCTGCTGATCCCGTCGCCGGGGGAGTAGGCTTTTATAACGTGCTTCATTTGATTTGTAAAGCCAGCTGGTTAACGTCTCACACACTAGTGGTATGGCCTGGCCATAAGTGGTGGGTTTTGCTGCCTGGAAAGGTGAACCTTCAAGAAAGTCACAGTTTAGTATAAAAATGTTGCGATTGCAGAAATGTGTTGCTATCCCACTTGGTTTGGATGCCAGTCGCAGCAGCAGACCTGCGCCAGTGGAAGGTGTCTGCAAGAGCATCCCTCCCTCTCCTGAGCACCGAGAGGTCTCCGACCTCATAATAAAATGTAAAACACTAATTTCAGAATGAAATCCTTGTCCTGTTGAAGTCGGTGGCCAAACTCCAATGGCTGCAGCTAGCTCAGGGTGCAGCCTTGAGCTTTTTTCCCCAAAAGGGTTAGAACAAATGGGATTTATTTCAGTGGTGATTGCAAGAACGTGTTAGTCAAGAATCCCAACTTGTTTTTTTCATCAGCAAACTGCTGTATTGAGTTTTCAACTTGACAACTTGCGTGGCTTGGGTTTGCGTTCCTGTTCATCGGAGGTGAGAAGTATTGACCGCTTGCTTTGCGCGTAGCGTGACGTTAGTCTGGACGTGCAGGTAACGTAGCGCTGCAAAAGCTGAGTTGCAAATGTTGCAGAACAACTAAACTGAGACTTTCTCTTTTCATAAGACCTTTCTGTTTGGGTTCATAATTCTGCTTTAAATGACGGCATCCTTTTAACTGTAGAAAGAGGGGGGACCATTGTCACCTTGTTAAACGCAGTGTCGAAATTACAGCAATTTTAGTACCTTAATACTGACTCTCTTTTAAAAGAAAAGCATTTTTCTTAGAGGTACTTTTAAAAAAGGCGTTACAACCCTACAGCAAACAGGAGCGGGGAAGGCCGGTGCCTGTGGAAGTTAAGGTGTCTCTGGGGGTAGCAGCGTGTGCGCGCGGCCGTAGGGAAGAGCAGCCCCTCGCTGCGCGACGCGCTGTATGTGCTGGGCTCTCCATAGGTGACCGCGTTTCTTTTCTGTGAGGTTCTGCATGCCCAGAAAGATGGAGAGAACTAAATTTCAACCTAACAGTCAAATTTGATGTGATTTAATGGTTGCGTAATTGAGCGATGTCTTTGAAGGCAAACACAGACCTTTTCCACATGGATTTTAGCAGGAGCAATTAGAAATGAGAATGCCAGATATCATGTGCTTCAAATCATATACAATTTGTATGAACTTCTGTATGTTGCCAAGACACGATCTTTTTGTTCTTATTGTATTTTTCTGTAAATATTCCTGGCGCTAAGTTGTAAAGTAAAGGCAAAATGTAAATATGAAGATGTGAACTATGTTCTCTTGTCTCTAGTACTTTATCTCTTATTTGTTTCGGGAAGGCACACAAAGGCTTGTTTGTATTTATGCCAATTCTTTGTCCAGGAGAAACACATCAAATACTGAATGTAACACAATTAGTCCAATAAATTTTAAAGATTCTTATCTAGTAACTTTGCAGTTGTTGGGTTTTTTTTTTTTTAAATATTTTCCAATGCTTTTGCTTGAAATTATCAGCCAATGGAGATGTTTCTCAAGGAAATAGCAGATGGATGTAGTAAAATTGTGCACCCTCTGCTACGCAGCAGCTATGGTAACAGTGCACCAGCTTGTATTTAAGGAAATCACGTTGCATCTCGACGGTGTGGGGAATGAAAACATGGAAACACAGCTTTTCAAGGGAGACCCGATGCTCCTGCAATGCAAACGTTCTCCGGTTGCTCAATGCGCTGCTTCCGATCTCAGGCGTAGGTCCCCTTGCCGCGCAGCCGGCTCTGCTGACTCCCTGCGAGTCGCCGCGTGGTTAAAATGCGGCGCAGAGCCCTGCGGGCGTTAGAGACGGCTCTTATTTCTGTGCGGGTTGAGGATAAAGAATTTGACTTCTCGGTTGTTTGGATGAGGAGAAGAGCTGGGCGGCGGTGCGGGAGGGTCCTGTGTCCTGCAGAGGCGACGCACCCGGAGAGCTCTGGGCAATTGGGAAAGCTTCAGGAAAGCCGTGGCAGAGGG